TCAAAATTACTCAAAAGATACAATAATTCAAAAATGGTAATGACAAAAGGTAGGTGTGTGTGTGTGAGATTGTGTGTGTGATTGTGTGTGTGTGTGTGTGTGTGTGTGTCCATAATATTGTGACACATTTTTACATTTCAAATAATCTCAACCTTTCACCTTGATTTCAAAATTGAAAGCTTACTGGAATAAAATCAATAATATAGACAAATTAATAAAGATGGTGAAAAATAAATCAGGGAGCAGTTAAATAATGTAAATGATAGATAAATGAAAAATGAAGATTGAAAGAGCTACAGACGAGTCATTGTGTCACTGTGAGGTTTTTTCGACATTTAGAAACCAGCTCAGCGCCGCAGGTCGATCTTCTGCTTCTGTGACTCATTTTCTACCTTTCTGGTCTTTTCAAGAAAATCTTACACTAACATCAGATTAGGAGAAACTCTCCGCTGTCCTCAGACATGTGAACAAACTCTGCTTCTCAGAACAAAACAACGAGGGCGTCCTGAGCGCCTGAAACCTGACAACACAGAAAGTGGATTTCCTCGAATGATTCAAATGAGAAGCCGAGGGGATAAATTATCTTTTCTTCGAGTGAGTTTTTTTAAAACAAGTAGCTCTTCGCTTTCTGTGTCATTGTTCCAGAAAAACAGAAAAAGAAGAAAAAGATCGTCTGCCAATTGACTGACTCGTGATGCTTATCTGAGCCTCTATCGCTTCACGCCAGACACACTGATGTAATCTCAACGAACAGGCCTTTTCACCCCTGAGCCTGCGCGCACACCCAACACAAACACAGCCATTAATATTCTGCATATTTATCTTAAATGTCTGTCGAGATGATTAACTAATATCGCTCGTGATTAATACGAAGGAGAGAGACAGAAATGAAGGCACAGTACCTGCTGCTCCGCGTCAATCACGCCCGAGGTTAGACACGAGTTTAAATTCACAGTTCATCAAACCTCACGTGTGATTATAGATTATCAGAGATCAATGCAAGCGTGCACGAGCTCTTCTCCTTCTTCTTCGTCTCCTCTGAATGCAAATGACCGCTGGAGCTTTTGGCCCGTGACAGTGCGCGTGTGATGCCCTTAATGTGGCATCTTAGTCTACCTTTCTTTCTCTTTCTCTCTCTCTCTCTCTTTCTCCGCCATATCAGGACAGACACATCGACCGAAGACGAGATGGTGGTGTGTGTGTGTGTGTGTGTGTGTGTGTGTGTGTGTGTGTGTGTGTGTGTGTGTGTGTGTGTGTGTGTGTG